CGCAATGCCAGCATTTCCTTGAATTATAGGGGGTTTTACCTGGCGTTTGTCTGGCATTAGATTGCATTACAGCAAACATTTTTAAGTCTTCCTGTCTTCCAGTCCGCCTCTTTCTATCTTTCTTCTCCTCTTTCAGCTTGTCTCTTTGATCATAGACAAAGTTAGTGATCCTGCACAACTCTGCTATTTCTAAGATTGGCCAGTTAGAGACGAAGCGGTGGAAATGGTCTTTGATATCCACGGTGGACTAGTCCATGAAGGCTGAAGTTAAAATCCTTTGGTCCTTCAGGCAGCTAAGGTCTAGGTGGGCATATGCAATAGCTGCTTCTGACAGGCGGACCCAAAAGGCATCAGGGTTTTCCTTTTCTCTTTGTGTTGTTTTTTGAAATTCTGACCAGTTTAAAAGCTTTTTACCTATTTTCTCTAAAGCTTCTAGTAAGTTATCTTTTGCTCTTGTGTATTCATCCCAGTGATTGGTATCACTATGGTCCCAATCAGGGCGATGTACTGGCCATGCGATGCGGGCTGGGGCTGTCTGTCCAGGGATAGTTGGTAGTTTAGCTATTAGGTCTTTTTTTTTCAATCAGTTTTAATAGTTCATCTTTCGTTAGAAAGACTTATAGCAGCTGGGTCATATCACCCTAGGATGGATTATGGCTGTCTATGATAGATTTCAGGGTTTGAATTACTGTTTGAGGATCAGCCTTGAAAGCTGGGGTATCCTTTTTCCAGATGACCAAGTCAGAGGCAGAGAAGGGAGTGTGGGTAAAAACGTATTCTAGTTGTCCCCTATTTCTGCCTGGCACTGGTTTGCTTAAAAGGGGAGCCATAATCCGTTCCTCAGTCTTTCCTTCCAGGGAATGGGTTTCAGACTTTGCTTGATCTTTTCCCTGAGTCAGGTCTTTGGTCCTAGCCATTTCAGCCCAGCAGTACCAATAGGGTATTTGGCTAAGTTTAATGCGTGTTCTAAGTGCTTTCAGGGTTTTATAATCTAAAGTACTGCTATCAGGTCAAATTTGTCTACCCGTGTCATCTCGCAATAAAGCCCACTTTTTGCAAATTCTTTTTGCTTCTTTTTTATTCATTCCAGTCAGGACAAGCACTTGCCTTTCATCCCAAGCCTCAAGTAATTTATCCAAGGGGGTCTCTTCCATTGCCCTCGAGCTATAACTTCCCATATTCCCTACCTGATGTGGGGATTACTTTGGTTTAGCCGGGCTACAGCCGTCAGTTTTCAGACAAAAAAGGTCTGGAAAGGACTCCGGTTTCCCTACACACAGAGTACGGGCCCCTTTCTTTTAGGGAAACTCAGCCATCAGTTTCAAGACCCTCCCTAAACAATGGGGATCTCGGAGGACCGTCTGCCCCCTAGCAGCACCGGTACGGGCCCCTTCCCACACTCAGCCATCAGTTTTCAGATCTCCCTTAAAGGTGGGGATCTGGAAGGACCTACTCTGCTTTTTAGACAAACTATTTCCAATTCTGTTTGCCAGCAGCTGGTACGGGCCCCTTCTAAATGCACTGGGCTTTGCTTGCGGGATGCACCGGGACTATTTCTCCTCTGCTTTTTATTTATTTCCTAACACCAGTTTCTTTTTGCAGCCCGCTCGGTTTTTCTTATGTCCTTCAGAAGGACTCACATTCCGTGGTCACCCCTTGTGTTCCGAAATCCAGCCGGTCACAGCTTGTTTTTGAGCTAGCAGCTGGCTGAGGTGCGGCTGGCAATCACGGAGGAGGTGAGGTCCCGCTGTTTCCACAGAGAAAACCCACAATCACACACCTGGTACACTCACGCTTTCACTCCCCTCCCTAGTAAGATTATAAATTTGAAGCGGTACTCACCTGCTTTCAAGCAGCTGTTGAGCGGAAAAGCCCAAGGACTCCCTTTACTACCCTTATGCCTTCCAGGCTGGGTCCATGGATGTTGTCCCTGGACAAAGAAGGTCCACGCCGGCTGGGTTTGGATCTGCAGGCCCAGTCCGGTGGCAGGGTTGGCTGGGAAACCTTTGTGGCCACCAATTATTGAAAAGTGTTAAAATGCCTTTCTTCCAAGGATTCGATTTTCCCACTGGGAGGGCTCCAGCGCAAGGATATGGACAACTGCTTGAAAGCTGGATCTTTTTATTTTTCAGGAAGGCGAGAGATAGCGAGAAGTCTACGTTCCTGAGCTAGCTACCTTCGTATGGTAAGTCCCTGATTTTTATACCCTTTTCTCCTTTTGTGTGTGAGTGCCTGTATTTGTATTTTAATGTTTTAAGTCCTGTCAGGGTTTGTCTTTATTCCCGCCGGAGGGCAAACTCCACAGGGTGCGGAAGGCTAACTTTGCGGGGTGGTTTGATTCTATTATCGGTTTCTTCCTAATCTCTTTTAGCTTTACAATGGTTTCTTATATTTGTTTTGTGGCAATCTCCTGTCTGTCTCCTTTGTAATTTATATATATGTTTGTATCTTTTGTCTGTTTGTTTTGCTGATTTGGCATGTCTTGTGTTTGTAAGGGTTTTCTTTTCTTATTTCTCTAGTTTTCTTAATTATTTGGGCTTTTGTCTAAAGGGCTTCTTTAATACCTTTTATTTGATTCCTTTTCCTATGTAAGTTTGTTTTATGGCTGGCCTGATGTTCCCTTTGGGCTTTTCCTGCTTGAGTGACACCATTGTCTTCGTGAAGTTCCCTTTCCACATATGTATGTATGTATATGTGTGTGTGCGCGCATAGTATCTATGATGATAATTAGGAGACAGTTTTTGACCACTGACCACTGCCTGGACAAGCCTGCAGTTTTCTTAGCATGATTTCAAAAGTGGTTTTCTTCCTTCAAAGCAACCCAGATGGCTTGTGCCTGGGACAGGACTAGAACTCACAGAAATAATATTTAAGACTTATTCCATTATACCTCCCATTTTGTCAAACTTAGGTCAAAGCTCACTAGGTGCAATGAAATTCACACCCATTCAGTTAGTGAAAATGCACACGTTGGTAGGATATGCTACCCAGTGATTTGCAGGATAATATTAATTCTGAGAATACATATTTCCCGCCTTTATTATTTTTACAAATAACTCAAGGTTGCAACAAACACATTCAACATACTTTCCTCCTCCTATTTAAAGACAATTAAACTGGGAGAAAGTGACTGCCCCAAAGTCATCCAGCTGGCTTTCATGGCTAAGACGGGACTTGAACTCACAGTCTCATACTTTCTAGACTAGTGCTTTAAGCATTAGACCAAACTGGCTCTCACGTACATATGAACACTTATGCAAGACTTATCTTGCTGACCTTGTGATTTATTTATTTTTTTGCCATCTTGGTGACAGAATTAGCTAGGAGCATATACAACTGACCTTAGACCAGGGGTGTCAAACTCGTGTTGTCACAGTGGCATGTGATGTATCGTGACTTTTTTCCCTTTGCTAAATTGGGTGTGGCCAGTGTGTGACACATCCAGCCCGCAGGCCATGAGTTTGACAGTCCTGCCTTAGACGCAAGACAGAATAAATGCATAGTGTTCTGACCCAGCCTTCACAAGCAATAAGAAACTGCTTACTCATGAGTAACACAACCCCTTTTTTATTTAAGTCAGGGAAGCAATAGTTTTATTTAAGTCAGGAAGCGTTGGATAAACAAAACCAAAAGTAATGAGTCACAAATGAAAGTCTTTTCCCCTTCTAAAAACAGGGCAATAGTCTCTGTTCAAATCGGCTGAGGCAAATTCTGCCCCTCAATTTCCCAGCAAGGACATTCCATTGAGACTTCAAATACAGAGCAATTAGTCCCAACAAACCTGGTTCTGGAAAAGTAATCCACTGTGATTGATGTACCCTGGAAAATGAACAGTTTTCTGCAACAACCAGCCACTCCCAATCCCCTGCTATTTATTTCCCAGCCAGGCAGGGTCTGGTTAGCATTTATGTCTTCTTTTCCCTGAGAGCCGGCTTATTGCTTTCCATTGCTCTCCTCTCCTTTCCTCTCTATACATAAGCGCATCTGGGATGGGACCCATCTATTCCTTCCCCTAACTCAGCTCAGGCCCCGAAGACACCTGCCTCTCCACCTACAGGATGGAAGGTCCCAGTTCTGCATCTGCCTCTAATCCTGCTTCCTCATCAGAGCCTTCCAAAGGCTCCAAAGCTGGCCCAGACTCCCCCTCAACCTCGCCTGACTGTTGCTAGCTCTGCTGGCAGCCGACGAGCCACAACACACAGTTGCATGATGGTGCAGGTTAATGCATCTAAAAGTGAGCTGCATTTAACTTAACTTCTGTGTAAATATGCATATGGTTGTTCTGGAAGGCAGTCCCATGCATTTTGTAAGAAGAGCACATAGGAAATAACTTCCAAGTACAAACACAAAAGAACAGATGTGCTATCTAAATTAGGCAACAATTAGTTGGTCAGCAACTAAAGGAACAGGACAATCAAGTCAGAGGAGGGAGGACTCTATACAATGAGATATGCTTTCTATAAGGGGGATTACACCTCCCTCCCTCAATTCTCTGGGAAGTGGTATATGGTTCCCACATTGTGCTTAAGTCTATATTCTTCTGTGCTAGCATCGGTAAATTCTTTTGTTGGGACTCCTTCTATACAATCTGCTTTCCATTTCCTCTTGCAGGCTATGGGGAATGAATCATACTGTCATGGGGAAATCGCTAAGCATTAGCAACCAAACTGACTCAGTGTATGATAGACAGCCAGTTTGGTATGATTGTGAAAGGTGCTGGCCTACAAGTCAGGAGACTGTGAGTTCTAGTCCCAGCATAAGCATGAAAGGCAGCTGGATGATTTTGAGTCAGTCATTCTCTCTCAATCCAATGTTACCTCACAGGGTTGTTGTTACAGAGAAAACAGGCAGGAGTATTAGATATGTTTGTTTGCATTTTAAAAAGCAGGATCAAAATGTAAGAACAATAGTAACTTTACCATATGTTCACATTTTTTTTCCTTACCCGTGTTATTTTCCTTCTTTAGTTAAACAAGAAAATGAAGAAATCCACTCATCTATTATATTTCTATGTTAGGTTTATTGTTTTTTGCACATTTATAAAATCAATGAAAACAAATAATCAGATAAGATTTATGACTAAGTAGTTTTGGTGATTTCTTAAGTAAATCAATTTTTCATTCCACAAAATTAGTTGACAATTCTTAACAGGTCCTCAAAGAATATTATAACATAAATTATAATAATTGGAAACAGCCTGCTATGACAGATGACACATCTCATTTTGTGAACTTAAGCAAGATCAAAGGCAGGGTGGGCTTCGGCCAGTTTACACCGGTTCGGGCGCACCGGATGTAAATTTTACATCCAGGTGAGTAAACCAGTAGTTCTGACGACTGGCTGGCCCCGTCCCTCCTCACGCAGCCCGTTTTGGATCCCAGGTAAGTGCAGGGGGTGCGTGGAGCCTAGGGAGGTGGAAAACGGGCCTCCCAGAGACCCACGGAAGACAAAAATTGGCCTATTTCCGGCCTCCAGAGAGCCGCCGGAGCCTGGGGAGGTTGAAAATGGGCCCTCCACAGCCCATTTTCGCTCCCAGGATGGTACAGGGGGCCGGCTAGGCCACACCCATCATGGCCACGCCTACCCAACAAGCAGGCAGAGAACCGATTGTTAAATTATTTGAAGCCCACCACTCATCAAAGGGCTTATCTAATTTACACAAGATGGGGAGATGAAAACTCAGACTCTAAAGTAATTTGGCTTTTTTCTAGAATAATTCATTATATTTCTTTTATATTCTTTCCATTACATTATTGCAGCTGAGAGGATGAAGAAGCGAAAAGCTAGGAGTGGCACTCCCACCCTCCCATGCACTTTTTGGTCTTTTATCCTCTCAGCTGATTTCTTTTTGGAGGCTTTTTTCCCCTCCTCTCAGCTGATCAGAGGCTTTTTTTTAAGTACCTGTTCAGCCGAACCGTTAAAACTGGTAGCATACCACTACTGATTCTCTACTGTCAAATACCAGTTTATGCTGATATTTTTGAATGACGAAAGACAAAAAGAAACTATCTGCCATGCAATAAAAGCAAAATATCTTTTGCTAGCTAATGGAACACAGTAGTTTAAAATCCAAGTGTTTCTCAAAGTTGGCAGTTTTAAAACATGTGGACTTCAACTTCCAGAATTCCCCAGTCAGGGAGTTGGAAATCCCTGTGTCTTAAAGTTGCCAGCTTTGAGAAACACTGCTTTAGAATAATATTTATATATTTTATTGAAGAATATTAAAAATTAGATAGAATTATTCTGAACTTGTTTTTAAAAATGCTATTAGTTTGGAGGGTACCAATATCAACACTTTTCAATTATTAATGCTAAATATCCAGCAGATGGCAGCATAATGCAATCTTTAAAAACATAATTTGTTAGGTTGTTTTTTTTCTTTCGGATGATAGAAGCTTCTTTACTTCTAGGTCATTGTTTCTTCCAATTCTTCAGAATCATTTCTGCTGCATCTAATGTGCTGTCTTTCTGCCAAGAAAGAATGTCATGAAGATTAAAATCTACGTTCATTCATGATATAAGATATTAAAGAGCAGAGGTGGGGGGCGGAGTGATTTGTTACTATAAATGTCATATAACAAACTAGTAATTCAGTTTATTCATGATAAATAAATGGTTGTCAATGATCCAGCTGTTACTCAAGGAATCACCAGCAATATGCACATTCTCAAATGGAGTCATGAAAAACAGAAATTTACTAGGAAGATAATGACCGTATTCAACAGTCTACTCCTGAAAAGTCTTCCATATTGAAATGAACATTTTTACATCAAAACAGCATTTTGTTTCTAAGCAGCATTTTTGGACTTAGAAAAAGCACAAATAATGTTATTGCAAATGTTATAAATATGATATGGAAATAATAGTAGCAGTATTTGAAAATTTCATGGTTAAATTAGAAAAAAAGGAAATTCTGTAAGATCAATAGACTGTAGAACTTACTTTGATGAAGCAAAAGCGTATATATTTTTCAAATTGACCTTTAGTTTCTGGGCCACAAAATGGAGTCAGAGGAATAGCTGACAGTTTCTGAAAAAATAAAATAGAATTACAAGCTTACGGTACATTAAAAAGGATTTTGTGTGTGGCAACTATTTAAATCAGGGGTGTCAAACTCAATTTCATTGAGGGCCACATCAGGATTGGGTTTGACCTTGGAGGGCTGGTGGGGGCGTGGCCATGGTGAGCATGCCCATGCTGGGTGTAACATGGGACAGCACCTCTGCAGACCTAGTTTTATAAACTTATAAAAATAGGGAGGCGTACATTTCTGTGATTTTGTTTTTTTACTATTTACTTGATCTACTTGATCACCTTATGAGAGACCAGATCAAGAAACTGACTCTGTAGGAAGACTAGAACTATAAAATTGTTGACATAGGCTATAGTAGCAGAACTCTGCAAGCCTGAAAGGTAAAATATTTTACCTTTTCTCCCTTTTATAACCTTCTGAGTCAAGGACGGCCTCCTGGACCACTCTGGAGGCTCCATTTTGGACCCGGAAGGCCTCCTGGGCAACTCTAGGAACCCCATTTACTCCAGAGGCCCCGTTTGAGGCCTGGACAGCCTCCTGGGCGACTCCAGAGGCTCCATTTTGGGCCTGGAAGGCGTCCTAGACAATTCTGGAGGCCAAAAGCGGTTGTGGTGGGGGCACGTACACCCAACCTGCACCTCATTTTTGCTAGCGGAGGCACCGGCAAGCCGATCCTTTGCTATTTCCAGACCGGCCCCGCAGGCTAGATCTAAGCACTCTGCAGGCTGGATCCAGCTCTCGGGCCTTGAGTTTGACACCCCCGATTTAAATGAAGTTTTTAAATATTGAATTTTACTTCCATTTTTGCTTATGCTAAGGAAGCGCTTTTCTACGCTAAATGCCAAGGTCCACAATTGGGGATAAAAAAGTTCTGCACATTTATGGACATATAACTTTTCACTCTGCACCTCTATATCGGGATTACCCATTTCAATTTTATTTAAAATATTTTAGTTGGATATGAAATAGGAAGAAAAAAGAAACCAGAACCTACCTTAGATTTAATCATCCATTTCACAAATTTATAATCATAAGGTTTCCCTTTTTCCATGTCAGACAGATCTATACCTTTAAAAAATAAATAAATAACATTATTTTCCAATTCCGAAACATCAAGTAGGACAATTCCACCTTTTTGCAGATATACAAAATCAATCTAAGCTGGGTAAATAATATGGGAACTATATCATTGGATTCCTTTCCTTATGTCTCCTCTGAAGCCGTATACTAAGTTACCAGATCCCAACATTTTCCTTTTATGCAGACCACCAGTACATAGAAATATTTTGAGGACCTACCATACAAATTAATGGCCTGGCACTTAAGAGGATCATAGTGTACTTCTACAGGACACTGTCATGAAGTCATCAACCTGAATATTTTCTCATTTACTGTCCCAAGCCTTGAATCCAGAACTCAGGTAGCCTTCATTACAGGTAGTCCTCAACGTACAACCATTTGTTTAGTGACTGTTCAAAGTTGAAAAAAGTGATTTGTGACCATTTTTCACACTTAATGACTGTTGCAGCATCCTGATGGTCATGTGATCAATTTCAAGCACTTGGCATGTATTTATGAGAGCTGCACTATTCCCCGATCGCTATTTGTAACCTTCCCAGCCAGCTTCTGGCAAGCAAAGTCAATGGGGGAATCCAGTTTCGCTTCATGACCGCATGATTCACTTAATAACTGCAACGATTCACTTAACAACTGTGGCAAATGGGACAAAACTCACTTAACTGCCTGGCTTAGCACCAGAAATTTTGGGCTAAATTGTAATCACCTGTATAGATTTCTTTCTCCTATTACCTTTCTGATGCAGCTTCAATTCTGCTGAAAACAACCTCCTCCCAGCTATAAATGAAGAATGTCACTAACCTAGTGTGGACACATCAACAATCATAAAATATCCTCCCTCGGGAATAACAGGCTTCAGTCCAACTTCCAGAAACATCTGAGCCATTCGGTTCCGTTTCCTTTCCAGCTCTCTAGGCAAGGAGTAGAAATAGCATTCTGTATCATCCATGCGTTTGAAATCTAGCAAAAAGCTTTGGGCTACAGCCTCCTGAAAAGCCAAACACATTAAGAAAAAGTTGAAATAATCAACATAAACCGAAGACACCTATGAGATCTGGGTTTAATGATAACAATGTTATCTTTAAAGCTCAAAATTGTGATTGTTTTTCACTAAGAGTGCCCACCAAAATAGATGTTCCATTAACAAGAAACACATCAGCCCAGCGGACATTCTTCTATTGTTGGGCTACATTTGTTTGAAGCCTTGTTTTCTTTCAACCCTCAGCCTCGTTATTTTAATTAATTCAATATGTATCTGTGTTCAACTTTTGTCAATAATATTATTCCAAATTGTTTAACCAGGATTATGGTTTTAGGATAATATAAAATTATGAAGGGATCTATACTGTTTCATAAGTTTTAATTAGAGATAAAATCTAGACAACTATTCACATTCTTCTTCCTTGCCAAAGGAAGAAGCTCCAGAATACTTATGAAATTTAAATCTAACTGCAAACATACAGAACACTACACTCTAATATAAAGGTTGGATTAAGTGATGCTTTAGCATGTTATAGAGGGACGTGGTGGCTCAGTGGCTAAGACACTGAGCTTGTCGATCGGTCGGCAGTTCGAATCCCTAGCACCGTGTTAACGCAGTGAGCTCCTGTTACTTGGCCCAGTTTCTGCCAACCTAGCAGTTCGAAATCTTGTAAAAATGCAAGTAGAAAAATAGGGACCACTTTGGTGGGAAGGTAACAGCGTCCCGGGCACCTTCGGCATTTAGTCATGCCAGCCACATGACCATGGAGATGTCTTCGGATAGCGCTAGCTCTTCAGCTTTGTAACGGAGATGAGCATTGTCCCCTAGCGCTGGAAACGACTAGCATGTATGTGCGAGGGGAACCTTTACCTTAGCATGTTAAAATTGTCTATAAAACTACTGGATAAATTTAAAATTGTCTTACTGGATATAATTGTCTATAAAACTACTGGATAAGTTACACATTAGCAAAATATTGCAAAATGATGCTCTATTCTACCTATTTCTGTCCATTTTCATTTTCTCAGATAACAGAGAAATGGTTATTTATTCCAATGCTGATTAACACTGGGCCTATGCATTAAAGAACCCACCTACTGTTATTATTTAGTGTATGGCATATCTTATATTGATTTACAATATATGTTAATATTTCACATAGATTAATAAAACACAATAAAACGTAAATGTTAAGAAGATCTATCTTCAAATATGTCTAGGCCATGTAACCACTGAAACACAGCATCTTTTATATGAGAAAAAAAACTCAGATAACCCACTTACAATTTGCATCCATACATTTCTTTCTAATCCATTTTAAATCCTTTCCATATTTCTGACCTCCCAAAGGGTGCAGGATGTTTTACAAAAACATCGTTTCCTTGTATGCTTTTGTACTTACTTGTAATGGAGTTGGGCATGTATAAATGGTATTTTGTTGAACGACCTGCAAGTGTTTTATCAGATGTGAGGGACCAATAGACCAACCAAGCTGAAAGATAAAATATGCATTACTTGTTGATTGTTTTCTTATATTTACAAAACAATGCATGCTAGGAAGCTTTCAGGCATTCCCTCCTTTCATCTATGTCATGATATATATACACTGTGCCTATTTTGCAGATAAATTCATAGAAGTTATAATATACAAAAAACATTTATTTGCCCACACAAACCCCATCAGTCATTGATAGGCAACTGATACACTTAGAGAAGAATTTTCTTTCAGCTGATGAAAAATTTTCTCCCTAAATCTTTTAGGAAGTTATTATTGGGTAGTGGAAGATAATAGAATCAGAGATTCTATAGTTAACTCTTTATTTAAATAGATACTTTAAAAAAAAACCCACCAAGCTACATTTTCTAGAATTAAACATCTATTTTATAAATAAGTGTCATATATAATGATTTCAAAAAACAAATATACATACTTTACATCATTTATGTCTTTATAAATCTTCACAACAGCTGTAAATGTTCACATATTAAAATTCCCCTATGGTCATGCCCATTTGAGACTTAATAGAGATCTGAAAGTTTATTTGTATACATATGGGATTTATATATGGGATTTCCTCAATTTTCATTTCTCAATGCAACCTTTCATGATGTATTTTACTATAGTGGTAATGTCCCAAATCTCACCAGTATATTTTCAATACAATTGTGAAGATCAAAATGCCATGCAGAAACATGGTCTAAAATTAGATTGTTTTTCATTCAGTAGTACCCATCTTTAAATTCAAATTAGAACTACCATATGAAATATACAGATGGATATATATTGCTATGTCAGATTGATAATAAAAAATATCTTTAAGTTCAGTTCTTGCCAGCCTTTAATTTTTTAAAATCTTTGGGTTTATATAATTTGCAAATATTGGTCTGCATTCCCTAGTGTCAAGGTTCTAATTCAACACTACCTCAATATATGAATTTTCATGGAAGTAATTTCTAACTAAGTCCATTACCTTCCAGCCAGTTACGCTGTATGTTTTTCCAGCGCTTCCTATTGTTATTGTTCTCTCCCACATTCCAGGCAAAGTAGCTGTTCATATTAAAACAAGTTAATTGATATTTTATTTATGAAGATTTATATTTTGCCCTTCTGATACATGTTCACCATTCAGAAATTACATTCTGCAGAGATTCCAAATTTCACTTTACAAACAGATATCCATTAAAATGACAGGGTAGAAATAATTGTATTTATGATCAATAAAATAAGTTCAGAGCTGTTAAGTAATGAACTGGAAGAAAAATATCTGACAAGATAAAATTATTTTTCTAAAGTTCACAAGTATATGCATAATAAAAGCTTTCTATAATACAAATTAGCACTGAATTAAATCAGTCTTAAATGGCCACCCCCCAGATATGAATTGGCTAGCTATTTGGGGAACCCCAAAACATTTGGAATGAATGGGGAAGTCAGCCTCAAAACTGGCTATTCTATTTTAGCAGTAGATTTAAATAGGAAGGTTATCATGGCACATTTGTTATACGAAGCAACAGACTGAACTCATTTTCATATACAATCAGATTCAAAAATAATATCAGTAAGAAGACAACATACAGATTCACATCAATACTATCCCTATGGATCTATCAGGAAAATTCTCATTTACAATATGCATTAAATTTGTCAGCACAACTTCCATTTTGCACAAGGCAGGTAAGAAAAAATGATTTACTATTCTACACGAGAGGAAACTATCTTGATGACAGCACAAAGATGTACTGATTCCGTGTACTATCACTCATAGTCTCTATTAAGAGTATTGGAGAATTATAACTGATGTTGCAAATTGATGCAATATTCATTTTCATGATACATGTGTCACTTCAATTGATAGAATATAAGAAACTTAATACAACTGTCTCTAGGGAGAGGATTTATGTTCTCTTCCCTGTATAAACTTCACGTACAAAATAAATAAGCTAAAGAAAAATCGCTTTGTAGAAAAAAAAGGGAGGAATAGTTTGCTCATTTTGTAAACATAACTGTCATTTATACCTAGGTTTTACAGTCTGAAACTGTTCCATGGGATTTGCTTAAAAGTGGCCAAGAACAAAGAAGTGTACATGAGCAAGAACTTCATCCGAAATATTTTATACTGAATTTTCTATGCAATCTATGCAGTGCAATAAAAATGCCTGAGATTGATTTATTTATACACAAACCCTTTACACAAAATACAGAAAAATAAATGTGACATTCTTTACATACAATCTTATAAAATAAGAATGAAAGAGTATTTGCTGATTTTACCTCTTCACCCAGGCCTTTGGCAAACATGATCGATGTTTCCCTTTTTTTCTTTTCATTTGTTCCCATCTGGAGTTGGTATCTCAACCATCTTTGTTTTGCAATGTTTTTGTTCTTATTTTTAGGTTTTTAACTATTTGTAAACCTCCCAGATCACAGCATATCAATTTAATTGAATAAATGGTAGTAATACCAATGAAAATATTCCATTAATTTTGCCAACAAGCAGTTTTCAATTCCCATTTAAAGATAAAATTTTGTTGATGATTTGCAGCGCATAAGAAATACCAAACCTATTATGGGTTATACAAACAGAAGGAAGCGACAGGCTCCCCCATTGCTGATGCATTTAAACTGAGGCATATAGCCATCTCTCAGAAATATTCCTGCGCTGAACCAAGGGTTCAAACTTCTCCTTCCAACTCTTATTATTTTATGAAAATAATTTCGCATTCGGAGATCCAGCTTTAATGGCGTGAAAGCTTTCATAGACATTTCAATGAATGTATGGTTTCATTTTACAGCAATACGGTCACTCTGGTTTTCTTTTTGTAATTCTCATGTATCCCTGCCACCGCTTCATTATTTTTTTTTCCATTAAAAAGCAGCTAAGGAGAAAAAAAATGGAATGGCTGCAAAGAATCTTTTGACTACTGGGACAAAGCACTCTTTGTGTGGAACCATCCAAAGTGGATGAAAGTAATGAAGCTTGAATGGCTCAGACACACAACAGATAAGTATATCCAAAGTCTACCTACACCTCCAATGCCAGGAAAAAAGATGGAAAGAAAAAGAATTTCATCCAAATAGAATGAAAAAAAAAAGTCTCCAAAAACTGTAAGCTTTGAAATATATGCTATAAAAATAACTGGATAGATACACCCATTTTCTGATATCAACTGAATCAAACCTTGCAAATCACTTCATCCCACCTACTGGGAGAATGTATATCGAATTAGAACTGATGGAGTTTAAAGTACTAAGAGTAAATCACTGTCGAGAGCAGAATGTCATGCTCTAATCATTTTGCAACTATATGTTTTGGGGCTCTGCCAGCAGGAAGAAAATTAGGACTTAAAATATTCAGTTACCTTTGGAGAAGCCAAACAGTAATTCATCAGCACAATTTGATCATATCAAATAATGTTTGAATGAGTTTGTGTGGGCTCAGAAACTACACAGGGTCAGATTTGATTACTACCTGGAAAAAAAAAATCACTAGAAATCTGTAAACTAGATTGGGAAACCTTTGAAGAAGGCAATGTGACAAGACCCTGCTGCATATCTGCAAAGAAAACCATGTTGATGTATGCATGTAATCATCCCCAGGAGCTCAACTCAGCTAGAGAGCTTATTTCATTGAATTATGTAATGTTTACATATCTAACAATAACATTTCATTGAATCATATGACTTACTTTAAGTCAGATACTTAATATATTTCAACTTTAACATTATTTTCTGAAGCGTGTGCTTTTTGCTTTTTTGAAAAAAAAATTTGCTGTAACTAACAGGCAATATTTCTTTAAGTAAGCTGGGCCAGCCAGAATGGGACATCTCCACCCAACCAACTTTCCCTGGCCATCTCGCTATGGCTGTCTCACCTCAGCCAACTCCAGAGGTGGTATTCAGCCGGTTTGGACCAGTTCCGGCGTACCGGTAATGGAAATGTTGAGTAGTTTGGAGAACCAGTAAATACCACCTCTGGCTAGCCCCGCCCACTCGCCCCCGCAGTTTCCTGTCCTATATTGCCTTGCGGAATGCCGCGACTCAGCTGAAGTAAAAAAATAGCTCAGCTCACCAGTGTTGGCACAGAGGGTGTTTTTTGAGCACTGCGAAGCGAGCTCTCATAGAACCAGTAGGAAAAAATTTGGAATCCCACCACTGGCCGACTCACCCTGGAACAACTCACAGTGAGACAATGCAACATGGAATAACTCTCTTAAGTTGCAGCTCATCCCAGCCTTAAGAGAGTTCTAACTTGAGAAGGTTCAAACCTAAAGCAAGACAAGGCCTGCTGCAATTCATCTTTCCCTCTCTTGAGTTAACCTGTTAATTGTCCCACAGGAAGTTGGTTGTGGCAAGTTGGCTGAGGCAAGTCAGCTGCGGCAAGTTGTCCTAGACCCTATCCATAGTCCGAAGCTATAAGCAGTTAGTTTTTTGTTTAGAATTATATGCAAATTCACTCAATATGATTTATCATGTGTAAATCAGACCATTATACCTCATTCAACACATCCTTGATAAAGTACACAGGCTTATTACTTATGAGTACAGCCATGTTTTCAAATATTTATTTATTTAATAATTCATTTATTCATTATTAAATTTATATGCTGCCCATCTCACTCTGAAGATAAAAATATAAGAAGATATAACTGTTTCTTTTTTGTTCAACAGCTAAATTCAAAATTTTTAGTACCTATTTTAATATGTTTATTTCCAGTATAAACTAGCCATTCATACACCTCATCACTGATGCACAGTGTGTCATATTTAATACAGAGATCAGCAATTATCTGGAGCTCTTCTTTTGTATAAACCTAAATGAAGAGAGAAACATGCTGGTCAGTATATTCAATATATACTTTAAGTGTGTGTGTGTAAAGCAAACTTCAAATGTTCACCTTTCCTATGGGATTGTGAGGGGTATTCAGTATAATAGCTTTAGTCTTGGAATTAAATTTATTTGCAAGCTCGGTGGGATCCAAGATCCAGTCAGCACTAGAAGCAGCTTCTCCATTCACAGATTTCTGGAATAAAACAGAACATATTTTATTAACTGCTAGGACTGCCCAGTACCAAATCTCCTAAATTGATAAGATTTCATTGTTATCCAGGCCCAAAAAATAAAATCAAAAGAATGATAAATAATTACATCTCTCTCTCCTCTTTCCTTCAGTGACCAGATTTTGCAAAACAAAAAGTTGAAAAGAGGGCAAATATGAAAGAGGTTCATAAGGATAAAAACTTTATTTTTTTAACTTTACTGAAAAATGCCTCTCAATTAGTTTGACATAATTCTTAAGAAGGGCCTATTCCACCGCAAGATTTGAGTTGATGGATTCCATCGCAAGAAGGGGCACTTCCATCGCTTGCCATATCATGCACATACGGCCCCAGCCACTGAAAATTTTACTCGTCAATTATATGCCCCCCTCAGGTTCAGATACTTATCATTCCCACTGGAAAGAACAGCTCAGTGGGATCTGAACCGCAGATTGCCTTATTTTTCACTTGCGCTTATGTACATATTGTAAGTTGTTTATAATCAAAGCAGCTGAGCCAAGATCTCATTACACTGAACAAACTGGTGATGCATTTATCTGATTGCTGACTCCATGTATTTTATCTCTGTACTTTTTCCTTTATCTATTTTATCCCAGAACCAGATCATGTATCAGGAAAACTCGAGAGCAAAACCAAGAAAATAAATAAATAAATCTAAAGATCAGATTTCTGAAATAAGGGGCTGTCTTTTACAATGAAGGATATATGATCGCTGCACATACATAGCAATATTTTTACAGCGATAAGATTTACTACTATTACACACAGTTGTATATTCTTACGTTTTAGTCTGTGTGAGCCAGCAATATTAAAATGGGTAGGGGTACAGAATTAATGCTATAACAGTCCAACTATTTATTTTTAATTCTGAATCAAGTATTTTCTTAATTTCTTATATTTTAGGTAAAGAAATGTGAATGATAATTGCTATCACACCATGTTCAAAATGTAGGAATGAATTAGGCAAGCTCTGGATATCCATCCCTCCCTTCTTTTCTTCCCACAAAGCTTTAAATCAGTTCAGAAGTTTCCCTCAGCTATAGTTTTCTTGTCACCAAAACCACACTACTCACATTTCTCAAAGGTATAAAAACAGGCGTGGCTCCTGCCATCCTCACCATGGGCTCGTAACAGTCATAGAAGGGCTCAATTATTATTACCTAAAACAAAAAATAAGCTACATGAATAAGGAATTAAAAAGTGAGCTACCATTTTTTTCTAATTTTGAAAGCAGACTTCATGATAACTTTACACATTTGCAAACATTTCATGTATTAAAAGTCTTTTGAGGGCAGCAAAGGGGGATGAGATAACATATTTTTTTCAGTGTCTTTTTTTTGTAAACTACCATAGCTATTGCAAATTTAGAATGAATGTGTTAGGCATGAAAGGCCAGGTCCACCTATGAAGGTTCAATTCAGTTGATTTAATCCTAAAACCTTATGCAAAGGAATCTTCTCCACTTAACAGTAAGCATCTGGTTAGATAAGGGTCAATGACCCTCAAGTGGAAACTACACTTAGCTTGTGGCTACAAAGGGATCCTAGGCCAATTCCTCTTTTCACTCTGTCCCCAGGTTTTTACCATTCCTTCTCCTACAAAATGAGAAGAATGGAAGGAAAAAGAAAATAACAGATCAAGAGAACCATTAAAAAAAAACAAGGGTGTGTGTGTGTGTGTGTGTGTGTAGAGTAGAATGATAAATCCTCTTTAACCCAAACCAGATTTCTATGTGTAGAAAGAGCCAGTCTGAAGTAGTGGCTAAAATATTGGCCTAAAAACCAGAAGATTGTGAATTCTAGTTTCGGCTTAGACATGATAGCTAGCTGGGTAATTTGGGAACAATCATTCTCTCTCAACCCATGCCATCTCACAGGGTTGCTGTTGTGGGAAAAAATAGGAGGAAGAAGGCTTACTCCCCTGAGTTATAAAATAACAAAGGTAGGATAAAACTATCTACTTTAAAATATTAAGGAATTGAGAAATTGCCTTTAATTTCAACACTGGTTTTTAATAAAACTGTGTGTGTGTGTGTATGTATGCATACATACATACATACACACACACATATACACACAAACACCAGTTGTTTTATAACAGAAATTATTATAAAGACTTACTTCATCTTCTGCTTCAATAAGCGCCTGTATTGCACTAAACAGGGATCCATATGCCCCTACTGTCACCAGAATGTCCGTGTATGGATCAATCTTTTTTCTACAAACTTTTTCATACACTTGAGACAGGACTTTCACCAATGGTGGATGACCCTGTGTACATTTTTTTTTAAAGAGAGAAAAATAGTTAATAACACAGAAAAATGTCAGCTATGGATGAGTGATGCATACATTAGTTCGAAACGTAACTAGATAGATCATAAATCCTTACAGCCAGAGTTTCCAAATTGTGTAATGCCCCAGGGCACCACAACAAACCCACAGGTGTGTCATGGGATATTTTAAAGTTAAACTTTTGCTACATCCATTTGCAAAACTGGAGGTTTGGATGTGTTTTGGTAGAAGAGTACCACAAAAAAATTACTGAAATACTTAGGGTGCTATGAATCAAGAAAATTTGGGAGCCTCTACCTTAGAATAACTTCCTTTTTATGACCCTGTAGTTCCTATTCTGGGTAAAGTCAGGGGATGCCCTTCCTGATGCCTACGTGGAATTTGCAACCCCCCCAAAAAAGTTTTCCTTGCACCCTAGGAGAAAAACATCTGCCACTACTTAGGATTGAAGTCTCAACCTTCTGAATGGGAGACAAGCATCTTTGCCACTAAGCCACCCCATTGCTCTCAACCTCTGCCTTTGAATATTATATCTTAATAATTGTCTTGGGGCTTTGATAGCACTAAATATCAGAATATATTTTTGTAAAAGATGGGAAGTGTTAAGTTTGATGAACTAACTTAAGAAAACGAACAAAGACCAATTCCATCGAAATGTTACTCTACTTATATATTAATTACACGCATGTACTGAGTCCTACAAAGCATGTTGCTTTATTATCATCATCAAACACAATAATAATGTCTGGAAAATCCACACTAGTTTAGTTTAATGTATTAAATAGGTTATGCGGATGGGTGAAATGGAAATTAACTGTATTTGCATATAACTCTAATTTAGGTGAGGAAGACCAACCAAAGAACAGAACCTTGTATTTCTATTCAGAATAAGAATCTAAAACTGAGAAAGATCAACAAACCAACTGAGAAACTTTCAGGCTATGCTATTCATTTGAAGCACTGTCTTTAGTCAGGTACATAACGCACTCACAAAACCCCGAGTGTACTGGTTCAGCCTATCCACCGATGATGCTTTTGCCAATTCTTCTTTTACATAGTTAGGAGGAGATATATCTGGAAGTCCTTGTCCGAGGTTAACAATAGAGGGATCTGCAGCAACTTTTGTAAATTCCACCCTATGGGACATAGAAATTATTGCAATCCTATTAAATCCCAAGAAAGACTAACTCTACTTCTGTGGAAATCATAACACAAAAATAGCAACAATGTGCATTTTTTTCAAATTCAAATGTTTTGTTTCGATAGTCTGAACAGCCTGAAACAACTATTCTAACCTTTCTGGAAGCATATTCAATGCTGTTCGGAGGATTTTGGAAATATTTGTGTTCAAAAATTGCCTTCCTCTCTAAAAAAAAAACAAAACAATTTCAAACTTGGGATATTTCTGAAATGACCAGAAGAGCACTAGAATACCTCCCATAAAATTTAGCAATCTGTTTCAAATTTGCATCTTTTCAAACTAGAGCAAATTAAGCTACATAGTGGCTCTCTATTCTCCCTTGAGATACTTTCGGTGGCAGTCCCACTGCCATCAAGACTAACAGCCACTGATCTCCATGGCAATCTTGGTCCAATCCTTTTTTGAAATCAGGCAAGCTGGTAGCCATCTACTACCATCTTGGAATACTCAATTGCAAAGCTGAAAACATGTTGTGTAAAAAGTCTTACTAACTAAACCCTGTTTTGGGTAGTTTTTAAACTATAAACTGGAAGCTGTTCATACCTCCAGAAACAAAGTGTATTTATTTATTTGTTTATTTGTTGTTTCATTAACAGGTTCTGTAGCCTGAAAAAAATTGAAAATTCATGGCTTATTCAATCCCTTACCCATATATTTATTCCTAACAACCTTCTATAATTGAATAATGAAATATGTGGCTAAGCTAACAAGAGTTCTAAGTCAGTCTCTTAGTCATACATTTATTCTTATCTCTAATTTTACACTAAATTAATCTTTAGGCATAACCAGTAAGGGTTTTTTTTTGTTTAATTTCTGGTATTATTTAATGCAAATATGTGAATAGCATTCAATAAAGATAAAATCAGGAAAAATGCCAACTCATGAGAACTTAAAAAAAGATGAAAGAAAAAGTCCTGAGATGAAAACTGCCAACTTTTCAGCTGATTTCTGTAGCTGTGCTCTTAACAGCAGCATGCTGGTCAATTATTAAGAAATGTATCTCCTTATGATACAATCAAAGTGATACTGAAGGCACAAATGAAGATGAAAAATTTGTTACTCTACACACATTCCCTTTAGAAGCTCAGCTGTAATGTTCTGAAGTTTGATTATTGATTAAATTAATGCTTTCATTGATTATTACTTACCACACATTGTCATCAAGCCCTTCAATTCGTTTAGCGTTTTTATGCTTGAAGTTCATGGCCTAGCAGCAAAACAACAATAACAACAACAGAGAGACAAAAGGACTTTTGTTAGAGACAAAAAAAGTGCATATTATTAGATGGTGTGTGTGCCACCTCTCCTTTTATGCTTCCTGTCTGATTTCTACTTATAAACAGCATAAACTACAATTATATTCTTATTTAAAATGAATCTTACTTAACACTGAAGACACAAAGAAGAACGCAAAGTAAATACATCCTGCATGAAAAAGTACTAAAACCAAACGAATGGAAACTGGATGTAAGGAAAAAGAACACTGAAGCTGCTTCGAACAGTTACGCTAGAGAAATATGAGAAGGGTGTTTGCTGGATGTTGAAGAAAAAGAAGCTGCAGATCAGAATAAATGTATGTACTGTAAAGATTGCTACAAATAAAGAAGATGAGAAAATACTGTAAATATCTCTCTATAGGCAAAAAGATAGTTAAGAGATAGTTGAAAAAGGGTGAATGGCTAAACAATGGTCATAGATGTGAGGATTGGTCATAAAGTTACTTTTCCATCACGACAATAACTTTTATCATAACTGACACTAAACAAGGCAGTCACTAAATGAGATAAAGTATCTTGTAAAGTATCCTTGCTTCCAGCACATTGATACAACAATACATTGCCTTTATTCTCTGAATTTCTCTTTTCTCTTCTAAGTTTAATCTAAACACATTTTTTTTTCCTTTTTCTCCCTTCATCTTGAGTAATTCATTGTCTTTATATGGCTAAATCACTTCAAGAGTACTTCCTTCATACTGATCGAATGCTTTTATATTCAGTCCAAATGTCAACTCAAAACATTCCTATGCTTGTTTTAGTAGTTACCATAAAAAAAAGGGGGGGGGAGGGGGAGGAAGGAAATATGGAAAAGCAGTGCAGCAGTTTGAAAGTGAAAGTACATTCCAACTCTTATCTTTAAAAGATTGTAACTAAGATACCAGAGCTTTTGCCCTTGAATATATTTAATTGGAGAACATGAATGATGACACCCAGCCTGTGAACGTGCTCAGTTGGTGAATCTGGTTTATGAGACACCCATGGGGGAGGCGGGAAAGAGGGTCACAGGTGACTGTAAATTACGTATGCCAGAGTTGGCTTCATACAGGGCCGTGCCAGTATGTGGCCTCTAATAAATCCTTTGAAGTTTTTTGAAGTTTGGCTCGACAATCATGATTTAACTAGAGTGATTGCTGGAATCCTGACACCAAATTCATTTAGCATTCATTTGTTCTTTTTTTAAAAAAAAGTTTTATTTGGGTTTTCACACACACAAAATACAAGTAAAACATCTTTTTTGAAAATAGCATGGTCCCGGGTTACACCTCTTTATACAAACACAAACTCAATTTCATACTCAATTTTGTGTTCTATTCCATATCTTATTACTATTTTGCATTTTCTATATAGTTTTTCCCCTCTTTTAATTTTCTCAACTTTATTTTGATTATCTCATCTCAATTCAAACCATTATGTTTATACTTTTGTCTGTCCTGTTTCAATTTCATATTATCTTTTCTCATTAAACAAATTTTCTCCTGTAGTTACTAATTGGAGTATGACACCTTTATATCTTTTAAATTTATCCATTCAACTCTTATTTAAACTTCAATGTATACCTTAAGGTTATAACATTCAATATAATACATAATACATAACTTCCAATCAAATTCTGCTTGGTACATTCTTAAAATACACACTATATTCTTTAAAAAAAGGATTATAAATATATGTAATTAAAACCCTCATTCCATTCCAATTCAGTTCTATCATTAATATTCATTAAAGTCTTAACATCTTTAACATTTCTTTTCAATTAAATATCATACTTCCTTGGGGACACGTATAATCTTTCCATAATTAATTTTTCCCCTATTTCTCTTTACTTATGTTTTATAAATCATTAAATATTCATTTTATTACATTTATTTATTAACAAACATTGCACTAAATTACGATAACTATTTTATCCATCATTTTGATCGTACATTGTTTCATATTTTCTGAAATTATTTGTATTTCTAGTATAACAATACTATCTTATGTACTTTTGCAGAATCTTCTTTGTACTTTTTAAGTTCCATTTTCAGTTCTTCTAAAAGTGGTGCCATTTTAAACACTTTTAAACAACCACCCAATTGATTTTAGTCATTCAAATGCAGTAACCAAAAATCCAGAAGTCACCAAGTAATCCAAATACTCCTGAGCTATTTCTTCTTACTTCTTTTTTCACTTTCTCTTCCTGGGGTTTTACTATTTTGTTGCCACGTTTCAGTTAAAATGTATCTTTTAGAAGTCTTGTTGAGATTTTACTGTAAGTTCTTTTTAATTCCAGGCAGTCTCCTCCCTGCCCTTTTATTCTTTTTCTCTCCTTTCCTGCTTTCAAAAGCTTTTAAGTATCCAGAAATCTTTATTATCCCTTTGACATTTTATTTTCAGCTTAAATGCCTATTGATGTCAAAGTGGATTTTTTTTTCAATTTCTTGCTTAAGTCTCTTAGCTGTCAGTATAAGGAAAGGAAGGAGAAAGGAAGAAAAACCAAATCCTTTCCCTTTTCTCTTTCCCTGCTTGAAAATCTTCTTTGGGAACAGTGTTATTTTTTTATATAGTTTAAAATCCAGGGTACCTTATTTGTTGCTTTTGCTGTTTGACCCAGTCAATGAAAACTTTCTCTTCTTATCTTCCTCCTGCACATTCTTTTCTGGTCGAGTTCTTCTTTGGGGTGGCCATTTCTGACCACCGCCTTCAGGAAAGGGAGTAATGGCCAGCTGAGGAGGAGAGATGCGGCTCTCCTCAACCCTGCAGACAGTCTCCCCCCTCTTCACTACCTCTATGGGGTAGCTTAGCCCCGAAACCAGCCAGCTCGGGGCGCTCCAGCGGCAAGCACGGATTGAAACCACATAGAGCCATGGTTTCGGTCTGTCATCGAAGAAGCTCAAACCGGAAGTCCCTGCATTCATTTGTTCTTGATCTGACTATTCTTGTTTTATCACACATCCTTCTTGATAACTCCATTCCAACTACACTCAATTACTTTTTGTGTTTCACCTGACATAACTAACTTTCCAAATAACAAATATAGCAGAACATTTTTTCATTTCTCTGAATAAGCATTCATTACAACAGACCACAATCTCTGTCCACTTCTCCATCTTTAATACAAATTCTACCAAGGTATACCATGCACTTGTTCTAATTTGTCACCTTTTAAATATAGTTTGTAACTGTTCACTTCCCTTGTCAAACACTACTACCTTGGTGTTTGACACATTAATTTTCAGATTAATATGTTCATTACATCATACCATCTAATGTTTTCTGAAAAGGAATAAGATATTTAGCCAACACTGTATCATCATTGTCTGCATGGAAAATTATATATACCTTTATATTGTCAACAAGTACACTTTTCTAACATGGCTACAGAACTCCTTAAACAATCTAAAAATATATTATGGGTTATTGAACATATACCTACATTTTAATGCATTTATAACACCTTATAGCATTATGAGTTTACTTTTTTTCTGGATGCTAGCATTTATAACTTTTTAAAATTAAATATGATACACTTTTAACATTTTTGCTTTACTATTTATTACTCCAAAATGGAGTAGCACAATGGGTATCATGCATCTATGTCTGTACAGCAACATCACAAAATATAACACTGCTAAATTTCTTTGCCTGGCTTATGGTCAACCTAAGTACAAAACTCCTCTGGTCATATAACCCAAATGAACCAAGAAATTCTGAAAAAATGAGAGAATATGTGAAAAAAATACTTATTATTCTAGCTCTTTCTCAATCTTTTAAATATTATTAAGAATTAAAAATTTATAAACCAAGCAAAAACATCAAAACCATTTATTATAATATTAGGATACTAATAAACATTCTATCAGTTCCACAAAAATTTTAAAACAAACTATGTAACCAAAATGCCAAATATAGAGAATGATATCTTAAGAGAATTACATGGAGGCTACTAGACAGAGCAGCACTACAGTCTTAGATTCCAACATAAAAGTGACAATGAGACACACATACACACTGAGACCAATTTGATTTGTTTTAAAGGTTTCAAAGTAATTGCATCAGAGATATCCGCACAGAACTTCTATGCCAACTGTACCTTCTTGAATTGCTCATGGAGTGGTTGAGAAGAGCCTTGTATAATAGCCAGCAATGTCAATCACTAGGCTAATAAATACTGTTTTGCATTTAAAAAGACCTGTGGGAACCTCAAGTGCACATCTAAATAGAGCCTCAGAGACATTAAAGAAAAATGTAGAAAAAGTTCCTTTGCTATGCTCAATCAAATGCTTTGTCCTTCCCTACCCTCCCTCTCTCTGTTGTTGATTCTAACCATCTAAAAGAAGCTGCCTTCTGTTCCTACTTAAAATATCAGAAAGACCAAATTTATTTTTCCATTTTAGTCCAGTTTTCCCATGGTTTTTTACATACTACAGTACAGCCTTCATCTCTTTGTACCTTCTATAAATGAGATGAGAAACTGAAGTTATTATGTTTCTTATATCAGCAGTATTTGTAAGTAAGGAAAGTTTTTTGAAGACATTTAAGTTATGCAGTGCAGGATAAACTTCCATTAGTGATTCAATAGCAAATGTAACAAAAAGTATATGCAATTATGAAATCTATGAAGAGACTGAATACATACGAAACAAGTTGAAAACCTGAAGCATCTCAAAGGATAATTAATCTTCAGTAGAGATGTTCTAATGCCAAGACTGAAGTACTGATGAGCTAAGAACATTCCTGTGTAACAATAAGTTTTAAGAATATAAAATAACACAGACACAACAGAGGCAAGTAACAGGCAAAATTTGTATTACTATATTTAACAAAAAAATTAAATGAGCATACACAGTTAACTTTATATAATACATTTGGGTAATCAACCAACAGGTAATAAAGGGGAAATAGGAAATCAAAAAACAAGGAAATCAGGATGGATAAACCTATTTGCTGCACTTGTCGGAGTAGAACCCAAGTCCAAAAAATAGTAAATATATTTAGAAAAAAGCAATAGGATCAGAATTAACTCTACTGGAAAGTTTATCGCAATTTATAGACAGGCTCCATTCATTGATAGTCATAATTTTTTAAAAGGGAATAGAGCACATTGCATTACATTTTCTAAACCGGGTTTAAACTTGATAAGATCTGAATTGTTGAACTCTGATAGTGGATCCAAATTCATCTTTGCTCTCCAAAAGAAAAGAGCGCTGAAGAAGGCATAGAAAAGGACAGTTAGAACCATCAACTGGCTCATGATAGTCAATTCTGCAGATGAAAACCTCTAGTCCACTGTGTCACAGGTCTTTGTGGGTTGAGCAGCAACCAAGGAGTTAAAGAAGTCATCATGGCACCCACAATCATATCGTCAAACCTGCCCCTTTGGATATGCAAGCGATAACGCAATACATACACAAAAGGGGCCTGACTTCAGTTGCTCAAATGGAGCTGCCTCTTGATTTTTTTTTTTGACACATGTCCCAACACTTCTGATGAGTTCACGGTAGCTGATACTGGACATAACATACCTGGCACGACTTGGGATTCCCCCCCCTCATTTTGTTAATACAATAAACAAAATAGTTTTGTATTATCTATTTGAGCAACAGCTCTGTAAAACCAGATAAACCCCAAACCTTCTATTGTCTCCCTTATAAAGGAAAACACATGAACTAATTATATTGACCAGCATTCTCTATCAGGCTAGCAATCACTTCAATCTCTGGCTGGTAGATCTTGACCTCAGTGGAGACCTTTTGCCTATGTTGATTTGCTCTTCCTCGCTTCAGCGCTTTTCTCCAAATTGTCCAGGCTTCACTTCAGGAAATTTCACATTTTCCTTGAACTAAGAATCCAGCACTGTAACGTTCCCAACCTATCTCAGGATCACCAGCTATCATTACAGCAACCAGCGGAGAAAAAAAAGATCCATGTGCAGAATTGTCTACTTCCTTTGTGAGATGCTAGAACACCCCTTCATCTCTTTCCCGAAAAATCCTTTCTTCCCTTTTTAAAGACTCCAAGTCTGCTAACTAAGCAACTACTCCATTCTTCAAGGGGAAATTTTTTTTCCATGGGTAAGCTATCTCTTACTGTCAGCTAAGCAGAATAGAGTGCCTCTTTGGATTTATGGGTGTCTATACGACAGAATGCTAAAGAGCCATGGATGAGAGCAAAATATGACTGTTTGTTTCAATAGATATATATGTTCTACAACAAATAGCAGAGAGATTAATTAAGTGTCACTCGTTAAAAAAGTGGAAGTCTGATATTGAATTAATTACAGAAAAAATGTTTTTCAGGCAAAAGCAAGATATACTCTTTGTATGGATTGTCCTTTCTCATTTTACATTTGGCCCAAAGCACAAGAATGAAAAAAAATGGTTAGTCTTACTGTGTGAGGATTTCAGATTATTTTGGGTTTAAATCAGGGAAAAACAAGCCAACGTTTAAAGAAAAACAACTTATCAATGTTTATTTGGAAATTGTGCTGTCCAGCCAGTGTATGGGAATTGGATAGTTAGATAAGGGAATACCTACTATGGAAGTCTATTTTCACGAGCACCGCCCAAAGCGAACAGCTGCTTCCCGGTGAAGAATTTAAATTTCTGTTGACATGGCTAGGACCACGGTCTAGCTACATGGTGAAACACATTTACACAGGCTTACTTAACGACCCAGACACCACTCTAAAACGAGCGTGGAATGCTTTGAACCAGAAATATGGTGAAGACGCATTGATGGAATTTTCGCTCCTAGAATGACTTTACAGTTTTCCGTGTATCGCCATCCACGAAACCCGAAAACTAGAGGACTTTTCCAACATCCTTACGGAGCTGCGAACAGCCAAAGAATGTTCTGACTTACCAGGAATGGCTTGCCTTGATCTCTTTATAACGCAAGAAGCAATCATCGCCAAACGCCCAAAAGAAATATTAGAATGATGGATTGTTTTGTCCGATGCCTTTCTGGCCGCAAACCGCAGACAATACCCACCTTTGCCTTTCTCCAAGAATTTGTCTTCCGGCAAACAGAGTCCGGCAACAGCTTCAGAAACCTTCGCCTCAGACGCAGAGTTTACCAACCTAACAGAGACCGCTACTGCAACTCTGGACCTCTCCAGCCTCTACTGGACATCTCTACAGATCATCACCAAATGTCAACACATAACACCGAGATCGACTCCTCATCCACACACAGTTGAGGAGAGACCTCATCAGATACAACCCAATTTAGATCTACTATTTCAAAGAGAAACCAGTTTTGTCCTATGCACCACACTCGTCACTCGCTGAACAGCTGCACTGGGTTTGCAGCGAAATCACTGACCCAATGAAAAGAGTTACTAAGGGAGTACCAATACTGCTACAAGTGTTGTGAATCCAAACACCTGTACAAGTACTGCACAGCCAAGGTGCAATGCGTCTTATGCAATAGTGACTAGCACCTGACCGCGCTGCATCCAGACTCCGAGCTGCCACTGCAAATATCTCGTAGCCCTCCTTCGGACAACGAGCCTCAACATAACACAGAAGCATACAAGGCTCCTTGGCAGACTGCCAAACTGCAACCAAAACCAAGGATGAGTGTCAACTGCACAGCACTGTGCGCCAACTCACCATGCTCTCATTTGTGTCTTCCCATCTGTTTAGCCAAAGTGTACCCTGAAGGATGCCTTGGAGATGCCATGAAAATGTACGTGCAGATAGACACTCAAAGCACCTGCACCCTGGCCAGACCTGCATTCTTCGACCTCTTTGAGGTGCAACAGAACGAACTTCACTTCACTGTATCAATGTGCCATGGACCAAGAAGCACGGTGGGGAGGAGAGCTACTGGACTCTGCATAGTCGTTGGATGGAAGTGCCCGGTTCCCACTATCGCCCGTGTTTGAATGTGAAGGGGTACCGAACAACCGCAGTCAGATTGCAACACCTGAGGTCATAAGTAGCATGTCTCACCTACAGCACCTGGCTCACCACTTCCTCGCTCTAGATCCGGAGGCCGAGATCCTACTCTTACTGGGAAATAATGCCCCACATGTCTTTCTCTTCTCCAAGTCAGTCGGCGGCCCTGTCAAATCTCCACTAGGATGGGGGATCGTAGGAATTGTCAGTGATGATTGGATGCAGGCTCCAACCCAGGCAAATGCCTTAGCACCATCCATTCCAACTGCCTTCCGACACCCTTTAGCACCATCGAAAACAAGAATGCCATTCCAGCCTAAAAGGCCGCCAGCAATCAGTACACTTTTGCTAGGACACCCTAAATGTCTGCCAACAACCACCAGACATCCACTAAGATGCTCTACACGGGCATATGCCTACACAACAACCTTTCCAACACCTTCCCAATGCCCTTTGACACCGTGGAAGCAAGAGTACCATTCCAACCCTAAAAGGCCCCCAGAAGCGACCTCTAGACTTTCACGATTGGTACCAAGAGTACCTGTCAACCCTAAAAGGCCACCTGAAGTGACCGCCAGACTTTCACCTTTGCCACCAAGAGTACCTGTACACCCTAAAAGGCCGCCAGAGGTGACCAGCAAGAATTGCACCTAGAGGCTGAACTTGAAGATTGAACCTCAAGCTTTGTACATTTTGCTTTGTTTGATGCTTTATTAATGTTTACTGTTTTTCTTAGTTATATAGCTAACTGTTTACCTTAGTTATATAGTTATATGCTATTCAGTTAGTATTACTGTCTACTGCTTATCTTAGTTTATAGTTAATTTTTTTCTTCTTTTAATAGTGGAATTTACAATTCCAGGCGGGGAGTGTGCTGTCCAGCCAGTGTAAGGGAATTGGATAGTTAGGTAGCAATTGTGAGCTGTCCCCTTAAGGGAATACATCATGGTAAATATAGTTAAGGTATCCTGGGAAATGTAGTCCATGTCACGTGACCACATCTGTAATCCTGACTGGTCACTAAATTGACCCTCAAGGGGTTGGGGGAGGTTTTCCTCATTCTTGCCTGAACTCATGGACTCCTGTTTTATTTCTATTGCTACAACATGAGGGAAAAAGAATAGAAGATAAATCATCTTTTTACCTACAAGGCAGATATGCAAAGGATTTGTCATTAAAGAAGAACTTCATCACAAATGTGAGTTATGAGAATACCGGATGAACCAATAATGTACTTTGTTATGGATGTCTTGTTGAGCTTATCTATCTGCATCTGCACTACTGTGCAGAATACAGAACAAATTATCCCACTTCTATCCAAACAAATCTCTGCAACTCAGGCCTGAATTAAATTAAGAGGGGAAAAAGCAGCAAATCAAATTTGAACTAACTTAGCTTAACTTCCTCAGAAGAAAGATTTTGAGAAAGAAAAAGAATTTTAAGAAAGTTTTGGATTGAATCTAAGTATTGAAAATATAGGGTTTCATAAAAACTAAAGGGAGTCCTGATGTCTACATCTTAAGATAATAGTATATTCATTATGTTATTCTCTTTCAAGTTAAGCAACTTTATACAAGGTGCAAAAAGCAATAAATATTATGTCAAGCAAGCCATAATACAAGAAAAGGAAACAATATATAAATTTAGTTTACACCAACTTCATCAATTTTATCTGTTTCAATTCTTCACAAACCAACTTTTTTCACAAATCCTTAAATTAACTCATAAAAGACCTTTTGCTCTTTAAATGTCCCATCTCTCTCTTTTTCAGTTTTCAACTGTATCCTATTATGAGTTTCTCATTTTTCCACTTTCTCTCAACCAATGTAGTTCATGTATTTCTTTTACTTTTTATATTGGTTTTTTATATGTGGCCAAACTTTAACACATTTCTTTTATGTTGGTCAACCCTCTATTCAATCTACATTCATTCATCACTCATTCTTTTATCACCTTGTATTTTCTTGCGTTATCATATATATTTCCTAAGTAACTCATTTTCACAGCATTCAATTTATTTTATGATTCTCCTGACTTCATATCCAGCCTTAATCCCACCCCTTCCAAATACAGCATGCCCGGTTAATAGTAGGGATAGTTTTAGCAGTTTTGGCATATTTACAAGTAGCTTCTTGAAGTTATTTTTATGCTAAATATAGAAGGCAGCCTGCTTCCTTTCAAAGGCCAGGAACTCTACTGACCCTTATATCCTGTAATGCTTTATTTTTGTTGCAAATCTAATTTGGTAGGAATTGTATAAAAATAAACCTGGGAAAATGCTTTGAAATTGTGACAATATATATATGCTGAGTTCAGTAACTATATTTACAACAAAAAGGAAATCAAATATAAACAAAGTTTCTTTGTGATGATTGGGTGCTAGAACTGTCAGTCAAAGCATAATGCAAAACATGCCCTCTCAGTTATTATTTTGCAGGGAGGAACCAGGAGTGAGGATTTTGGGAGGGTATTTAGATCTCAGAAAACTTCTAACCCTACCTATAAGAAAACAGTCATCTGTCAGAATGACATGTTTATGAATAGATATCTAGTGCCAGGGAACCCAAGGATGGGAACCCCACAAATACATTGTGAAATATAAGTTGAAAGTCATCTTATTTTATTCATGTGTTGTTTATCACATTTCCACACCACCCATCTTACCTAAGTGTTTCTTGCAGTGTAAAGGTAACCTGAAATGTAACCTCAGGGAGCCTATTTACAACCTATTATAAAATTATGCAACCTCGTTTATTTCAAAAGCAAACCCAGCTGCTCCTTATCTTTCTCACTTTCCACCAAGTCTTGTTATCCAAGAAACAAAACAGAGAGGCGGGAGGACAGAATATTCAGATCAGGAAAGGGTTTGGTTGCTAAAGCAAAATCAATGATCCCTTAAATAGAGGGATATCCTGATTAATTCAGGAATAGTTCAGTTAAGCCTTGATTTTGGAAAATAAAGGGAAAAAAGGATCTATTATGGTGCACGGTACAGTATTCTCCTAACATAACAAAGACATTTAACTCTGAGCTCAGGGGCTAAAGAACCTGTAAACAGACTGCAATTTCAAAGTCATGACTTCAGAATATCTGGATTTATGCCCATTTATCATTGGTTTTAGTGCCAGGGCTAGCCACCCACCTCGGTTTCTTCTGCTCATTCGTCTCTTTAAAAAAACGTAATATTTTCACCATTTTGCAAACTGTTCTGTGATAAAAATTTTACAAAAATATGATTTATAAGGGAACTGCTGTAAGTATACAAAAAGGAGTAAAATTCACTCCGGCATTCCCAAAGCATTCATTGTCCAAGGAGTGAAAGCCGAGGGAACCTTACAAGAACCACACCGTCCCGCCCCCACTCTCTCTATTCCTAATTTTGAAAATTCTTTCCCGCTTTCTTCTTTCTCCCGTCCTCCTACAGGTTTTTTTTTATTTTTAATCCACTTCCGAAGGAGGCCATTTTCCTCTCATTTTCTTCATTTTTCGTTCGGCAAAAGACTTAAGGACGATTTTATAACCACAAAAAGTAAAGAACGAAAAAGCCCCCTCCGGGGACGCGCTTGAACGTCCCCTTGAGGTTGAAAGAAACGACCTTTCTAAAAGTTTTGGCGCTTTCTGCGTCCAAATCAACCACGCTGCGTCCTTACCTCACACTTGTTCCCCCCCGCCCTTTCCCCGGATATGGCGAGTCTTGCCCGAAGAGGCGGTGAAAACAAATTGGAGAAAGGCTAATCGCCGGGGAGGATGGGCTTGGCAGTCGTCCAACAAGACGCGAGAATGGCAGGAACCAAAGACCGGATCGCAGTCCATCGTTCTGGATCTATTTTCCCAGACCAGAACATTTCAAAAAAAATAAGGACCGAACAGCCTTTTTCAGTTCCTTTCCCTTTCTTTTTTTTTTTTTTGCAAATAGCAAATTTGCATGCTTCTCGGCACGCCAAAAGCTAGCATGACAGACTCCGGCTGGCCTTTACAAAGTATTCCCCCCCACTATGAATAACGAGCGTTGTCCTTGTGGGGAGTGGGGGAAATCAGACATGTTGTATCGCACCTGTAGGCATAAGTGGTACAATCCAGCAAAACTATCCAATATACAGTGTAGATTAAGCAAGGGCTAATACAATCTGTTGCAATTTTCTTCATATAATGATACCTAATCTTAGAGGAGAACTAAGCTTGTAAATCGTTTAACTAAAGCTAAAATCTGATATGCGCACACACACACACAGCAGAAAAAGTGATGTCTTCTGCTCTTTTTCAAATTTATAGATTGTCCTGGAATATTAAATCTGTGTTGGACCAGATCAGAATTATTTCAGAGTATTCTTCAGTAAACAGACTGAAAGAGGATGGCATTATTACTATTTGAAAAAGATGCTTAGTATGGGCACATCCACCCAGCCATCGCCACCTAGTCTCTGCTTCCATGCAGTATGGATCTTTGTCCCTATCCACTTCACACCCAAGGGTCAAGCCTGCAGCTGAAGCACCTGAATGGATTTAGGAGCTGATGGATATTTGTAGCTCAGGGTTGAAATGAGAGGTCCTTCATCTTCTCTGAGCTTGGTTGTTTTCTTGCAAACATTCCATTACCAAGCTAGGAAACCTCATCAAGTTTGGTGCCAGAGGTTCATTCCCCCAAATGTAACTCTGGATGTACATGGAATGTAACTCTGGATGTATATGTAACATAGAACTTCAAATGACTTGTTTGTGCAAACTAGGATCTCTAGTCTAAAGACTACGATGCAAGCCAACATGCCAGGATGTTTGCCTGCATTCTATTTATATCCACAGGATATATTGTCAAAGAGATGTAGTAGTGTATTTATATGTTGGAATTCCTGTGAGCTGGAAATAAAATTATTTTAGATTAAAGTGAACAAGCCTTGCTTAAAGGATAAATAAATATATATATATATATATATATATATATATGTGGATCTTTGGTTGTTCGGGTTTTTTCCCGCGTAAGATTCGAAGTATCTAGGCAACGTTTCGATGAAGTCTCATTCATCATCTTCAGGCTTCTGTCTCCGGCTCTGTGCTTTTCAGAGTAATGTGAGATTGCAGCTGCTTCCTCCTTTTAACTGCCAGTGGGGGTGGGACTTGATTGGGTGGGGGCTTGGCTGTGTTCTGATTGGGTGGGGGTGTGTTCTCATTGGTAGGGGGTTTGGTTGTGTTCTGATTGGTTGGGGGGTTAGCCGTGTTCTGATTGGTTGGAGGCGTGTTCTGTTCAGGTGGGGGCTTGGCTGTGCTCCGGTTAGTCTTAGTTGCTGGGGGATTTGAGCTGGTGAGTTGTGATCTTGCTGTTTGGCTTCTAGTTCGTGGTCCTGTTGCATCTTCATAGTGGGTGTTGGTTTGCTTCATGTATGGCTCGGAGGGGTTTGAAGTGGGTAGTGATGCAGCTGCAGTGCAGCTTCTGGTCCATGGTCGTGTCTCATCTTCTGAGTGGGTGGGAGTCTGTTTTCTACATGGAAGTGTGGTGGTGGCATCTTGTGTGGCTCTCATGGGTGTGGGTCTGGTGTCCTTCTTCATGTTAGGTACTCGTCTGTTCATGAGGGCGGGTTTCCTGCACTACTTAACCTGAAAAAAGACACCAGCATAATAATCCTACCAGCAGACAAGGGCAATGCGACAGTGGTTATGAACACATCTGACTACCAAACCAAGCTAACCAACCTACTCCAAGACCCCACATACAAACCCCTAAAGACAGACCCCACCACTTACCTAGAAAAAACTACCAAATCCAAAATAAAAGCCTCCCCCATCAGTGAAGAAATCCAGCAACGAATCATACCCAGAGAAAAATCATCCAGATGCCCCAAGCTTTATGGTCTCCCCAAAATACACAAAGAAGGAACCCCACTCAGACCAATAGTCAGCTCCATAGGCTCACCTCTACAAAACCTAGCCAAATTTCTCGCCAAACAACTACAACCTTATGCAGAATCCATCAACTCACACGTAAGAAACTCATTCCAGTTCATCGAGATCATAAAGAAACAAAACTTACAACCTAGCGACCTACTAGTAAGCTTCGATGTCATATCCCTCTTCACCCAAGTGCCAATAAAAGAAGCCTTGACAGCCATCCAAAACAAATACAACCCCCCCAAGCACATCCTAGATCTAACCAACCACTGCCTATCCAATACATACTTCACCTACAATGGACAAAAATACAAACAAATAGAAGGAGCACCCATGGGATCACCCCTCTCACCTGTCATCGCTAACCTCTACATGGAACACTATGAAACACAAGCTCTAGAAAAATACGACCACAAACCCAAACTCTGGCTCAGATACGTAGATGACACCTTCATAATCTGGCCACATGGGAAAGAAAAACTGAACAACTTCCTCACACACCTCAACAGCCTACACCCCAAAATACAATTCACCATGGAAACAGAAGCCAACAACCAACTTCCCTTCCTAGATGTCTTGGTATACAAAAGATCCAATGGCTCCCTAGGACACACCATCTACCAGAAGAAAACACACACTAACCGCTATCTACATGCACTCTCACACCACCACCCAGCACAGATCAATTCCGTAGCCAAGACACTCATCTCCAGAACAAAATGCTTAGCCGATGAACAACACCAAAAAACCGAACTACACACTCTCACCAACGTACTTACAGCCAATGGATTCCAAAGAAAGAAAATTACCCACCTAATCCAAAAAGAAACCCCAACCAAAATCCAAGACAGAGAACAAGAAAACGGCAAAGCCCTCCTCCCATATATAAAAGGCACTACAGACAAAATCAGCAAGATCCTCCAAAAACACAACATCAAAACAGCATTCTGCACAAACAGAAAAATATCCACCATCCTAAGAAACCCCAAAGACAAAATCGAATTAGAAAACCAAGGAGTATACGAAATCCCCTGCACTGCCTGCCCTACCACATACATTGGACAAACTAACAGAAGAATAAGTGCACGCATTGAAGAACATAAGAACTCAATCAAAAAAGAAGAAACGACCTCTTCCCTGGTCCAACACCTCAAAGCCACAGGACATGAAATTGATTTTAAAAATACCAGAACTATCGCCAAAACCGAACACTTCAACAGCAGAATAATCAGAGAAGCCATAGAGATAGAAAAACGCCCACACAGCATGAACAAACGAGATGACACCTCCCGCCTTCCAGCCATTTGGAAACCCGCCCTCATGAACAGACGAGTACCTAACATGAAGAAGGAC